TCCCCTCCACCTAATGGCAATGCGAATAGAGATTGTGATCGAGAAAAAGTGCTCCGATCCCCTAGAGATGCGACGAGCCGACTTCTCCTTCGTTATTCCGCCACCAAACAGCGCTTTTTTACCTTCGTTTTGATCCGCAGATGTGTTTGCATCTCCACCCTGCCAGTGCTCCTTTCCAATATCACCACGAGGCTCGTCTGATGAGATGTCATTTGGATGTTTGTCGCATCTAATTCTCTATAGCACTGAATAATTCTCTCGTTGCACTTGCAACATTTCTAGACGTCCACCAATGCACACGTTTTGTTAAGACCAGTTGTTTTGAGTTTTAGTACTATGCACCTGTTCGAAGGCGCACCACTGCTTACGTTGTCATGCAGAGGCCTCCACTGGCAGTCCTGCTATTCATGGGTTGAGGCTTGACTGCCCCAGTGCCGCCCTTCCTCATCCTCCGCCTCCGCGTTCTCCTCCTCCTGCAGCAGCAGCAGCAGCAGCAGCAGCAGCAACAGCAGCAGCAGCAGCAGCAGCAGCAGTTTCCTCTTCCTCACCACTTCGGCAACCTCCGCCCTGTGCCGTCGCATGTTTAGTGAGTGCAAACTAAACGGTATTGGAGGGCGCATCACTGGAGTGCGACTAGTCAAGTGGAACGCATTGCCACACCAATGTGATGTTAGCCATGAGAACCTCCATTTCCACGTATTACTTACTGTGAAAACATCCTCCACTTGGAAGGTGGATTGTTAGAATGTCTTGTTTCACTATGAGTGGTGCAGGACGCTAGGCGAGCGAGCATTTTAAATGTCAGATGTCGGGTGAATGTGAGGAATGAAGGCGAACCTCTAAGGAAAATCATGTATTTGGAGGGTACCTTCTTACTGCGTATCCACCTTCCGATTACATAATTTTGCCGCCTGTTTTTACTTAAGATGAAGTTGTAGTCCGTAGGATACAGCTAACTGACGTAAATCTGCCTTTGCGGGCTACTTTTCAGCACTGAAGGCGGCGAAGTGTGGAGCAGAATCTAGTAGACCT